CATTTAAACCAAATGATTAGGGTCTAATGGACCTTAATTGAAGTGTTCTCAATTGAGAACACTTCGATTAAAGTCCGTTCAACCCCAAGAAAGGTCGACTCAAATCCGAGCTAGGGTTTGCTGATTTTGAGAACACTTCGATTAAGGTCCGTTCAACCCCAAGAAAGGTCGACTCAAATCCGAGCTAGGGTTTGCTGATTTTTCAAGATTTTAAGGTATTTTGCTTTACTTTGTTTATTCAGTTCATGTGTTTTGTTGTAGTTAAATGTCTGTTTGTTGCCCCAAATGTTTAGTTGGCTTTATTCTTGAATTGTTTGTCGATTGTTTTTGTCCACCTTGCCCGGACCTCTGTATTTGGCCAAGTTTTTCTCCATTTACTGACCGTGTGTATGTGTAAACTGCGCGATTGACTGAAATTAAATTTGGTCGATTGATTAGTTTCCAAAACAATTTTGTTTGGTCAGTAAAATTTGAATTACATGTTTGATACTTTTGAATTCTGATCAGTGGCTTCGATTGTATGTGTTATGATTAGCGTAGTCGATTTGATAGATGTCGTCAACTAATTCGGCTTTGAATAGCAATAATCCGATCCATGTTGTTTTGTTTCTTGCTGAAATTCTGTTTGAATTCAATTAGAAACTAAGAATAGCTTTGTTAGTTGTTCAATATGACTCAGAAACACTTATGGTTTGGGTTATAGTCTCAGTTCAGTTTTTAAATTCTTAATTGAGGGCATGTGCACTTGTGGATAGCATGTGCATTAAGGCCTTTTAGAAATTAAAATAACTTGACAGCATATGCTGTCAGGCCATTTTCAGGCTGCCCATACCATTGTTTTAGTTTAATAAGGTGATAAAGGGCTATCAGGGAATCTCATGGGAGGGTTTCTACTTTTTGTTTGAGTGGAAAAACAGCAGAAAATGAGGGATTTCTGATTGTTTTAACAGGCTGGAAATTGGCTTGATGTTGAGGTATAAAAGAGGGAGGAGCTGCCACTTAGAAGGAGGGGGAGAAAAATATTTTTGAGATGAGGCAGGACAATTGAGGTAGAGATACAGAACATTTTTGGAGAGGAGGATACAAAGAGATAGGCAAGCATATACAGATACACATTGAGAGAAGCATATATACAGGAGACAGTTAGAGAAAACACATAGATAGATAGAGGAGGAGAGATAGAAATCACACAGACAAAATCAGAAACTGTTCTTCCCATTGTTTGTCTTGATATCACTTTTTCCGACCTGTTTAATCAATACTGATCTCTCCAAGTCCCAATTCAGTTTATTGGCTGGGTGTTTCATTAGTTTATTTCTGGATTTGGTCTGTCTGGAGTTCTGATTCTACTCCACTGTTTGATGCTATCATTTTGCTACTTTCTTTTCCATCGGCTATAGTTGCATCTTGCACTGGAACCTGTTCTGCCGCTACTTATCTGTTACTGCTGCTGCTCGTTTACACTACTGCTCTACTGACTCTCCTGCTTCTTCATTGTAAGCATTTTCCCAGGTACACATTTCGAGTCCCACATTGGTGTAACTGATGTANCTCGGGTCAACATAATTCCTTACTTAGAATTTCTGGTTCGCAGACTTCATTTGGAAAAGTTGAATATTTCCTCGATTTAGGATTCTAGATAAACCGGTGACTTGGGATACCAAAAGCCAAACCTTTCCCAAGTGGCGACTCTGAATTAAATAAATAATCCCATTTCGAATATTGTCACTTAAATTGGAAAAACACCCTCGCGCATTTTAACCCTTCGGGGCGGGCGCGCAAAAAGGAGGTGTGACAACAGCTGCCCCTCTTTGCTCGGAGACACGAAGGGTTTTCAAGCAAAGATAAACTGAGCAATTATGAGGGATTTTTGCCCATTTGAAACTTCATGAGAAGCATTTTCAAAAGAGCCTGACCGAACCTTACTTAAAAGGTTGCCTACATATCCTTGGCTATAAAGGAATCAAGTCAGTGTAGTTCTGGAAGTTTTGGTAGCTGGGACTACCAGAAAGCTGTGACTTCATTGTTGATGCTGCTGCTACTACTTGTTGAAATCCTTATTAAACCAAAATGGAAAATAAAAGCTAAACTAGCTAAGACTATCAACTACGAGTTACAAGATTCCTATCTATATATCTTCTGAAGCTTAACCTTGAGTCTTGGCTGGTTCTTGCTGCAGACTCTGATTTGAATCTTGATGCTCGTCAGCTGTAATCGTTGGTTCATTCTTCAGCTTTGGATCAAGGCGGGACACGCGAAGCTTGTGACTTCAATCATTTCTTGAACAGTCCGCACCTTTCTCTGCTTCATCACTTTGAGTTCACTTCTTTTTTCTCTTTTTCTTCTTTTCTTTATTATGGATTGAGACTCATTCTTTTGGTCGTCTCAAACCCTGTGCCTCCAGGTAAAACTTGCTCAGACATCAAAAACAAACAAACGAACAAAATTTTTCAGCCCCAATTTTTACTAGGAAAATTTCGTGAGTTATTTGTAACTAAAATCTAAACTATTTCTTTATTTGAAAGCGACAAAATAAGGATTGTGTATCTTTGGGAAAGAGATTAGGGAGTAGAGCCCTATATCTATACTAAAAATCAACTAGGGAGTGGAGACCCTATGCTTAAAATAATCTCAACTAGGGAGAGGAGACCCTATGTTGGAAAAAGGAAATCTCAACTAGGGAGTGGAGACCCTTTGTTGTAAAAAGAAGACTAGGAAGTGGAGACCCTATGTCTAAAATAATCTCAACTAGGGAGTGGAGACCCTATGTCTAAAATAATCTCAACTAGGGAGTGGAGACCTTATATTGGCAAAATGCGACTAGGGAGTGGAGACCCTATGTCTAAAATAATCTCAACTAGGGAGTCAAGACCCTATGTTGGCAAAAGGCGACTAGGGAGTGGAGACCCTATATCTAAAATAATCTCAACTAGGGAGTGAAGACCCTATGTTAGCAAAAGGCGACTAGGGAGTGGAGACCCTATATTGGCAAAAGGCGACTAGGGAGTGGATATCCTATGTCTAAAATAATCTCAACTAGGGAGTGGAGACTCTATGTTGGCAAAAGGCAACTAGGGAGTGGAGACCCTATGTTTAAAATAATCTCAACTAGGGAGTGGAGACCCTATGTTGGAAAAACGTAAAAATAGAGATTGGGGGTCCTAAACTACCATTTTTTGAATTATCTTCTTAACTTTTCATTTTATTTTCTTCTCTTTTTTTTCATGGAATGAGTAAATATGGGAAAAAATTGGAGGGGACTTCCCTTTTTATGGATTGTTGCTGTAAAGCTGTTTCTAGCCTTTGCACATTTTATTCTTTTTGGTTGCACTTGTTTCTTGCAAGGTTGCTTTGGATTGCACCTGTTTCATGTTTTCAAACAAAGAACAATTGTTAGTTTGAAATGGTGGTTCGTTTTGTGGCCTTTATTGTTTTGATCGCTTGATCTCAGCCCAATTCTTTTGATAAGAACCTCTGCCGCTTGCTGGCTTTCTGGAGATCGATCTCTCTTCTAAACCGAGGAACTCAACTTTCCAAAATTTCACATGACGGTTTACCTGTGTGGGACTTTGGCCTTTTCATCTTATTCTGCCTTTATGGGCACTTGACTTTGGATTTCTTTCATTTTCTATAATTTTGACTTCGGAGCATCGGCCATCATGGCCAGTCGGGATCGACCTGATACACCCGTTGAGGTTGGGTGCTTTTCTTTGGATTTGGCTTTTATTATTCAGAACCCTATAAAACCAATCTTGCCACCGTTTCTTTGTATTAGTTTTGGAATAAAGTTAGATCGAAAGGGATTCAAAGAAAATCAAACAAAGGACAAGAAAGCGAATTTAAAGAGAAGTATCCCTTTCGGGGAAGAAAGGAGGACTTATCTGGAGTGCATGCAGACTTCAATAGACATGACATGCTTCTTGGACTGTATATCCGATCTGCACAACTATCCAACTTCTCATAAACCCATTATGACCCGTGTTTTAAAATTGAGAAACCTTTCCAGGACTCTTTCAGTGCCAATGGTAGTGAGGGATTTCTTCTTTTTGATCAACGGCACCCTCTGCGGGTTTTCGCCAATGTACCTCTCTCATTTCTCTTCTCACTGTCACCTTATAGTGCTCTTTACGAGTTTTCACTATTAAGACTCTCTCATTTCAAATTCTCTGCTCACCATCGCCTTACGGTGCCCGTGGGTTTTCACCAATAAGACTCTCTCATTTTATTTCTCTCATCTTAATTGCATCGGATCCAAACAGTTGCGTTCTACGATTTTGAACACCTTTCAATGATTGATCGGAAGGACTTGAATAAGGTTTGGGTAAAAGAATCCTGGATCGAATTACAACATTGGAACCGTTCAGACGGGATCATCGCCGTACCATTATAACATCTTCCCCACTTTCACTTTTTTGGGGGAAATTGGATTTTTGTTTTGGTATGACTGAACCCCAGAGAGAGGCTGCCTACGTATCCTTTCGGAATCAAGTTGAACATAGTTCAGGGAATACTTTTGTTTTGTTGTTTCTTTTTTTCTTGTGTTTCGGATATTTTATTTTACAAACGTTTTCAAGTTCCAAATAGGGTAATGAAATAAAGGTAACCAGCTTCAAAAGGTTAGCAAAGGTTTGGAGTGTTTGGGGTAGCGAGAATGAAAGCCTTCATCATCCCAATCGGATGATGTTGTTGCTGCAGAAAAGACTAGACATAATACCTTTTGACTGCATCTACATTTACAACTGTTTCGGGGTCATTTCTTTCGATGTCTCCCAGGTATAACACCCATTTTGGCAACAATTATCTGATAATGTATGGGCCCTTCCAGTTAGGAGCGAACTTTCCTTTTGTTTCCTGTGATGGGGGAGAATACGCCTCAAAACGAGTTGCCCCACTTCAAAGTTCCTAGGCCACACCTTCTTGTTGTAGGCACGGGCCATTCTTTGTTGATACAGCTACTTGTGGCAGACTGCGGCCATTCGGTTTTCATCAATTAGGTTTAACTATTCTAGACGGGTTTTAACCCACTCATTGTCCTCAATTTCAGTTTCAACAATAATCCGAAGAGAAGGGATTTCAACTTCTACGGGTATCACGACTTCAGTGCCATAAACCAAAAGATATGGGGTTGCTCCGGCTGATGTGCGCACAATAGTGCGGTATCTCAATAATGCAAACGAAAACTTTTCATGCCATTGCCTGGAATTTTGGATCATCTTTCTCAAAATCATTTTGATGTTCTTATTTGCTGCCTCAACAGTACCATTAGCTTTAGGCCAATAAGGGGTAGAGTTCTGATGTGTTATCGTGAATTGTTCACATATCTCCCTCATCAAACGACTATTCAAGTTTGCAGCATTATCCGTAATGATAGTTGCAGGAATACCAAAACGGCAGATGATATTGGAGTGCGCGAAGTCTACCACCACTTTCTTAGTGACAGTTTTGAGAGTAATTGCTTCAACCCACTTTGTGAAGTAGTCGATGGTGACCAATATAAACCTATGTCCATTTGAAGCTTTTGGCTCGATCAGCCCAATGACGTCCATACCACAGGCAACAAATGGCCAAGGTGCTAACATAGGCTGTAGTTCTGTAGGTGGTGCATGGATCAGATCATCGTGCACCTGACACTGATGACATTTTCGGACAAAACTGAAGCAATCCTTTTCCATAGTCATCCAATAATAGCCTACTCGAAGGATCTTCTTTGCCAAAACATACCCATTCATGTAGGGTCCACACACTCCTGCGTGCACTTCATACATGATTCTTCCGGCCTCTTCGGTGTCAATACATCTTAACAAGTTGAGATCTGGAGTCCTTTTGTACAAGACCTTGCCAATCAAGAAGATACCGCTTGCAAGTCATCTAATAGTTCTCTTTTGGTCTCCACTAGCTTGGTCAGGATATTCTTTAGTTTTCAGAAATCTCTTGATATCATGATACCATGGCTGAACATCCGGTTCTTCCTCAACCGTATTGTAGTAACCATGCTATTCTCGGATTTGGATTTCCAACGGGTTAATGTGGAGATTGCCTAGATATGGCAACATCGACGCCAAAGTAGTGAGTGCATCGGCCAACTCATTGTGAAAACGAGGAATGTACCTGAACTCGACTGACTTGAACCATTTACTAAGATCCTCCATATGTTGCTTGTATGGAATAAGCTTGACATCCCGGGTTTCCCATTTACCCTGAGCTTGTCCGATAATCAAGTCCGAATCTCCCATGATCAATAGTTCTTCAACATCTTGGTCAATTGCCATATTCATACCCATAATGCAGGCTTCATACTCGGCAGTGTTGTTTGTGCAGAAAAACCAAAGTCGAGCTGTGGTTGGATAGTGTTGACCCGTGGGTGAGATCAAGATTGCCCCAATTCTGACGCCTTTTGCTTTCACAATGCCATCGAAGATTATTTTCCACGCATTGGTGTCTTCTGATGTTACCTCAACTGAATTTACCTCTTCATCTGGGAAGTAAGTATTCAAGGGCTGGTATTCATCATCAACAGTGTTTTCGGCTAGGTGATCTGCTAAAGCCTAGGCTTTCATTGCCGTGCGGGTGACATAGACTATGTCAAATTCAATGAGCAGGATATTCCATTTTGCTAACCTCCCTGTGGGCATTGGCTTCTGGAATATGTACTTTAAAGGATCCAACCTGGTGATGAGGTAAGTGATATAGGCCAACAGGTAATGCCTAAGCTTCTGAGCGACCCAAGTTAGGGCGCAACAAGTCCTTTCCAACAGGGTATATTTGGCTTCATAACTTGTGAAGTTTTTGCTCAAATAGTAGATTGCCTACTCTCTTCTCCTGGTCACGTCATATTGCCTGAGGACACATCCAAAAGAATTCTCCAAGATTGTCAAATACAGAAACAAAGGCCTCCCAGGTTTAGGTGGGACTAAGACTGGCGGGTTCTACATATATTCTTTGATTTTGTAAAAGGCTTCTTGGCACTCATCTATCTATTTAATTGCTACATCTTTCTTTAACAGCTTGAAGATGGGTTCACATGTAGAAGTCAACTGAGTAATGAATCAGCTAATGTACTTCAACCTTCCCAGCAGGCTCATAACCTCTTTCTTGGTTTTTGGAGGAGGAAAATCTTGAATAGACTTTATCTTTGTTGGGTCTAACGTGATGCCCCTCTGACTGACTATAAATCCCAAGAGTTTGCTAGATGGAACCCCAAATGCACATTTGGCCGGATTTAGCTTCAAATCATATTTACGCAGCAACTCAAAGAATTCAGGTCCCAGAACATGGTCGTCCTGGGTCCTGGATTTGATGATCACATCATCTACATACACCTCAATTCTTGGTGCATCATGTCATGAAAAATGGCAGTCATGGCCCTCATATAGGTTACCCCGGCATTCTTCAGAACAAAAGGCATGACCTGTAACAGTAGGTTCCCCAGGGTGTGGTGAAAGCTATCTTTTTCGCATCCTCTTCATCCATCAATACCTGGTGATATCCTGCATAACAAACCATGAAAGACTGTATCTCATGTTTGGCGCAGTTATCAACAAGGATGTGGATATTCGGCAAAAGGAAGTTGTCCTTGGGACTTGCTTTGTTCAGATCTCTGTAATCCTCACACACTCGAGTTTTCCCATCTTTCTTTGGTACGATAACTACATTAGCCAACCATGTGGTGTACCGAACAGCTCGGATCACTCCTGCTTTCAACTGTTTTGTGACATCTTTATTAATCTTGTCATTGATATCAGTTTTGATCTTTCTTTGATTTTGCTGGACAGGAGGATAATCGGGGTAGGTCGGCAACTTGTGGACCACCAAATCGACACTTAGTCCTGGCATGTCATTGTATGACCACCTTCGAAGGAGCCGAAGGATAAGCAAATAGTAAAATAAGTGATAAAAAGTTATACTCTCGGCTACCCCCGACGAAACAAAGCAGAGGATTGTACCGCGTCCTCATCACAAGCGACTACAACATATCAGGGCTTGAAACACCACCGACACATTCTACACTAAGGTATGACCGTCTCCTTTTTCCTTCAATCACATTCTACACTGACCTGAGTGCAGGTATCCGATCGAAATGGCCAAAGCACTCTCCAACTCAAAGGCCTTATGTTTCAAAAGCATGTGTTGCACTCTTTTCCTTCGACCGGGTTTTTATCCCAAAAGGGTTTTACTGGCAAGGTTTATAACGAGGAAACATCCATATGCTACCTAAGGAAGACTCAACAAGTATTCAAGGCTTATTTTGCAATCAACCTCGAAGGTCACCTACTCAGAGAAGCATAGACACACTAAGTGGGGTCTCGATAGGAAAATAATGTACTGGGCCAAATGGTCAAACGAACCGTGTCCGCATAGAACAACCAATCCCCTAACAACAAAGGCATGTATACTTGTACCAAGTAATCAAAGAATACTTCCTAAAAGCATTTTGCGTTTCAAGGAAGCTCGATATTTTTTGCAAAAAATGGCCCAGAGCCAAAAAAACGTCTCGTTTACTCAGGGACTGGCATTAACAACTCGAACCAATATGACCCTCGGGTCAAAGCTTCAAATTGTAAGCCCTCAACGAGGAAACAACAAGATCACAAAACAACTCCAGAGCCAAAAATGTCCCGAACACTCAGGGACTGGCATCGAAAACTCAAGGCCACATGACCTCCGAGCCGGAAACTCCGAAATTGTAAACCCTCAATGAGGCAATACACAATTTACAAGTAATGGCTCCCGAGCCGAGAAATCCTCAATAACTTTGGGACTGCCGTCAATCACCATCTCCATCGACTTACCGAAACCTAAGGCCGTAAGACCACGTGCGGGCAGCCTCAGTCTCGTAAGACCTATATAAGGCAACAACAATATCTGTAAGACCTCAAGTAAGGCATGAACCACACTTGTACCAAGTGACAATATCTATAAGACCTCAAGCAAGGCATGAACCATACTTGTACCAAGTATCCAAAACTGTAAGACGTCAAAGGCATGTAAAACTTGTAAGACCTTACCAAAGGCATAAACCCGATCTCAAAGTTAAGGCTATATATCAAACTTGTAAGACCCCTAAAAAGGCATACCCTTGATATAGACGCCAAAACTACTTCATTCGGGACTGAAAGGCTCCCGCCAAACACAAATGACTATGGTCAAAAGGCTGTATCATCCAAACTAACGCGACTTAGGGATGCCCAACTGTCGCTATTAAATCACAGGCCTTCAATTACTTCAATATACTTCGAAAAAACCCAGTTAAATAGGCTACCCTTGACATAGGCAAAAGAGTTTCGACCTTGTCAACTCCTAAACACAGGCTTCGAGATACTCAGCCATCGAGCCAAGCCTCTCGAGGTGATCAATCATCACCATATAATGACTCACAACTGTGGTTTTTATCGAACCGTTGAAGAGTCAGGCAAACATTATTTCAAAAAGTCCTTAACGAGGGAAAAATAAAGCCTATAAAAGGTCGCACCAACCCAATGCATAAGATCCACTGTCGTTAGCACATATAAAAGGTCGTATCGACCCAATGCGTAAGAGCCATTGTCACCAGCACATACAAAAGGTCTTACGACCCAATGCGTAAGAGCCATTGTCACCAGCACATACAAAAGGTCTTACGACCCAATGCGTAAGAGCCATTATCGCCAGCACATACAAAAGGTCGTACCGACCCAACGTGTAAGAGCTTAAGGGCTAGCTTTAAATTCAAAAACTTGAGGGTTGAATGAGCTCGAGTCGAAACCCGATTCAAAGACTAAACCCAAAACAATTAATTAAATATGCCTAAGAGCAAAAGTGTAAGAGCCATTGTCGCCAACCCATCCAAAAAGTTGTACTGACCCAACGCGTAAGAGCCTAAGGGCCAGATTGAAACTCAAAAACCTGAGGTTCAAATGAGCTCGAGTCGATACCCAACTCGGAGACTGAACCCAAAAAAGTTGACCAAACATGCCTAAGATCACAAGCGTAAGAGCTCGAATGTTGGCTTATACTAAACGGTCGTATCGACCAAACGTGTAAGAGCCTACGGGCCAGCCTAATAAGCCCCAGGGCCGTATCACGAATCTAAGGATTCCTTATAACTCAAAGACCATTTCATATTGCTAGAATCAAGGTGAAAAGAAATGCAGGAGAAACAAAACCGCGAGGTTTCCTCTTTATACATACATGCGAGAAAATACATGCTCCATTTACAACATACTTTGAAAGTACTATGTTCAGAATCAGAAAAGGAAATCTACGTCGCCCTTGAGGACTATGGATTGTCGGCCGCATCCTCGCTATCCTCGGTGTCGGACAGAAGTGACTTAGTGTCACGTTCGTCCGCCCTCGCCCGCTTCACCTCTTCTTAGAGGTCGAAACCCCTAGCATGGATCTCCTCAAGGGTTTTCCTTTGAGACTTACACCCAGCATATTCCTTGCTCCTGCCCTCACAGTCAAGAGTCCTTCTCAGCTCAGTTTGAGCATCGGTAGTGCCTTTCAAATAGACTGCCACTTTCTGGTCAACCTTAGTTCGGCTCATTACGGATTCAGCCTGGGCATCCACAACCTCGGCCTTTATCTTCAAAAGCTCAGACTCGAGCTTCGTAATCATATTTGTTTGAACCAAGCTATTATCATAAGCTAAGCAAAGTTGAACCTCAAAGGTGGAGGCTTTAGCCAGAGCACTCTTCCCCACTTACGCCCGAACGTATGTCTGGGCCTTTAACTCATCATACTCGCGCTTGGTTCATCCAGCTTCATTTTGAAGGCGCTCTAGGTCCTCCGTCTTTTTATGCAATTGAAATAAACAAAACATTAGCCCCAGTAGCTAGAAGAAGGAACACATACTCCCTTGAAATAAAACTACCTGCTCCTTTAGGTAGCTCTCATAATTTAAGCTTTGACTTGCCTCATACCATAAGCGTGCCAACTCCACTTCCCTTTCATCACAATGGAGCCTAAGGGATTTCTCCCTATCCAAAGCTTTCCGCAGCCAGGCCTCACAGCGAAGCAGCTCGGACTAGCTTGTCAAAAGCCTGCAAAAGAAAACTCGAAAGGACTGTGCCAAAACACATCATAGAGTGAAGCCACTGAGCTTCCTCGAAGGTTGAGCGCACATCATCTAGTATGGCTCCCTCAGCCCTAGATGAGCCGACCTCGGTCGGGATACGGTCGCTCAGTGTATGAGATCCCAAGTTTTGAGTATCCCTCGAAGTACCTTCGATGGGAGAAAGAATCGGTGGTAGATAACTCTCATTCCTCGAAGTACCTTCGACGAAAAAATTGC